TTCTCTGAAGTTGGGGAAGCTGAGAGCATGGAGAAGTGTAGACACAGCACACTCAGAAAAGTTGGAAACCCGGAAGGAAAGGTAAAACAGGAGATCTGTCTCTAACTTTCCATTCCCTGAAGTCAAACCTTGTATTTATCAGTGAGTAAATGTTGGAAGTGGTAGCCTTAGATACTCCATACCCTTCACTCTCCTTGATGATTCATTGAGAGCTACAGTGCCTCAGAAGTGCTTAAAGTTAAGCAATACAAAAATGAATGGATGTCTTTAGTGATGCAAGAAAAGTTGTGTTTGGGTTAAAATTATTTATCAATCAAATAAAGGATTGGGAGGACTGAGTAGGAATTTATATTTTTAAAAGTGTTCTAAAAGTTTTACTTTTCTCAAAGTTTGAGGTGATTCAAAGAGTATGATAGTCAAAAATGCTAATGCAACCAAAGAGAGTGCTGTCAGAAACAGAGTGTACAGGACAAAGGAGGTAATAAAGGACCTAATTCTATGATTGAACCTAAACAATTATGTTCCACCTGAGATACATAATGAAGGGAAATAACTAGGTGAACGACCTGGGTGACAAAAATTTAGACATTTAATGGACGAACATAGAAGTTTAATCTGGAGAACGGATGTGAGTGTGTGTGAGTGTGCACACAGGTGTGTGTGGTAATGATCCAGATGAGAGATAAGGGTACCTAAGCCAGGATAATTGAAAATGGTGAAATGCTATATCTTTTCGGCTTTGTCATATCTTTAAAGGTGAAACCAACAATATTTGAGAGCATTACCTGTACAGTGTGAAATACCGTACATCAAGGTATTGGGCCTGAGCTATATATTATTCATAATAAAATTCCAGATTGTAAAGGAACCTTAGCAATCTTCCAATAAAGACTTTGACACTTTAAAAGTATCCTGTCTACAACAATATACTCCTGCTTGAACGCTTTCTTGCCGAGGAGCTCACTACTTCACATAGCACACATCCCATTTAAGAATGGCTCTGATTTTAAGAACTCCTTCTCTTTTTAAAATTATAGTTATATTAATAATATCATTTTTAATTGGCATACAATATTTTATTAGTTTCAGGTATTGTTGGGGGAAAGCCCAAAAGTCTAAATCCCAAAGAACTTAGACCTAGCCTTATTCAAATTCATAAGAGCCATACATGGCAGGCAAATCAGCTGCTTGTTAACCCAGTAGTGGCCGACAGGGTGGAAATCCACCCCCCCTTCCAGGACAGGGTTTCTTTTTTATAGGGGGTTAATAGTAAAACCATACGGTAGTTAGTCATGTAAACCACCAGAAAGAAAAATGCATTTCTAAGTTAACAGATAACATCATATAGTTATCCACCCTTTATCCAGGGGTGTCCAATCGGCCGCCCAGGATGGCTATGAATGCAGCCCAACACAAAAGTGTAAATTTACTTAAAACCTTTTTATTTTGCTCATCAGTTTTCATTAGTGTTTGCGTATTTAATGTGTGGTCCAAGACAACTCTTCTTCCAGTGTGGCTCAGAGGTGCCAAAAGGTTGGACACCGCTGCCAGCATTAACCTCCTTCCTCAGGCCTGACGTGGCATTCTACCTTTGGGTGGCATTCTGGCTTTCTGGGTAGTCAGCCAAGACTGAGGCTACAGAGAGTTAAATAGTCACAGAAGAATGGAGTCCAACATTTTCCAGACACCTTTACTGCTGAAGACATATTGCATCTCTGAATGACTTCTCCTACAGGTGTACAACAAAATGATTCCATGTTTGTATACACTGTGAAAAAAATCACCACAATAAGTCCAGTTACCATCTGTCGCCATACAGGGTTAATACAATATTATTGACTATGGTCCACATGCTGTACATCACATCCATAGGACTTAGTTATTGTATAACTAAAGCTCTTTTTCTTATACTAGGCCAAAGCCTGCTTCTCTGTGATGGACAAGTGTTAATACTGTGGTTTATAATAAGAAAGGTACATTTGGTCTTTGTCGCTATTTCTGAGAGCTCCCTAAGACCCTTGGAATTTCTTAAGCTGTAAGAGCTATAAAGGACCCTTGGAATTCATAACAAAGCCCGCTCAACCATAAATGAGTTTATGTTAACGAGGCGGCTTTTGGAAAGGACCTCAAGTTGGGGGCCAGTCACCAGGGGAGCCAACCATATGATTAGAGGGTTGGAAATCTCAGTCCTATCTCCCCAGCCTCTGGAAAACGAAGAGTTGGCAGTTCAGTTTAGTCAACACTGGCTAATGATTTAATCAAGCATGCCAATGTAATGAAGCCTCCATGAAAACCCAAAAGGACAGGGTTTGGGGAGCTTCCAGGTTGGTGAACCAGAATACTTCCATGTGCCACGGTTCCTGGGCCTCAAATTCCAAGGGGAACAGAAGCTCCTGCATTCAAGATCTTGTCCCGTGTATCTTTTCTTCTGGCAGTTTTTACCCTTTAGTATCTTTTGTAATAAACCAGTGATCTAGTGAGTGAGCAGGGTTCTGTGAACTGGTCTAACAATTAATGGGACCCAAGGAGGGGTTCAGGGGAACCTCTGATTTATAGCTGGTCTGTGAGAAGCACAGGTAACAACCTGGACTTGCTATTGGCATTGAACTCAAGGAAATCTTTTGGGACTTAACCTTTCACCTGTGGAATCTGATACCATCTGCTGGTCAGAGTTGAGTTGAATTATAGAACACTCAATGGCATCTCAGATTGTTTGGGGTAGGGGAAAAAATAATTTTAACAAGTGAATGAGAAAGATGAAAAACCTGGTAGGAATGTGGGTAAGAGAAAAAGAGGGGAGAAATTGTATTTGTTTTTTCAGAGGTATGTCCCCAGCACATAGCGCGATATATGTCATTAGGTATGCAATAAATATTTTTCATTGTCTAAGCAATTTGGAAGAGCATTGGGTCATAATGATATGATCATAGTACATTAGTTAATTATTTCTTAATAAGATTTAAAAAGAGTGAAATTAAAATGTTTCCTCTATCCACTATGCTTACATGTCTTGTTGACTCAGTAAGTTTGTATAGATGATGGCAGTTTTAAATACATGAAAAAATACCATATTATTTGTTTATGGCCTCTTGGTGTCCTAAATCTCAGCAATATTTAAGTGCATATGCTCTTTAAATTAGTGATATACATACTAAATATGTAGCACTGCAGTCTGGACACCAACTAATCAGAATGGATGCCAGACAGTCTGGAGCATATCAGCTAAATGTCAGCCTGCTTCAAACTGTGGGAGAATCAAGCTACTAGAGTGTTGAGTTTAAATACCACATATTTCTATTTTGTCTTTATTGTAATGAACAAGCCCTGTCTTTAGCTCCTGCTGTGCACTTTTGGAGGGTCTTCCATATGGTTGCTGCTAAGTATTTTGGCATTTTCCCAACTGTTACAATTGGGTCAGTGGGGGGGCTCTGTAGGAGTAATAAAACAAGGGTGACTGCAGCAGGGAGGAGTACCATTACTGCACACATAACAGCTTATTGCTACTCAAGCATTCAAGCAAGGCTCAATGCCATTCATTAAAACAGGCAGCGAGGGCTGACCGCCTTTTTGCCAGAGTTTATTCCAGAAACAACCAGGCCTTGGATTCCGAGTCTAAGTCTCATTTACGATTTTTTCTTCTTCCTCACTTCTTCACCTTCCCGTAATATCTAGAATAACTTGAGGACTAATACAATTTTATCTTGCATATTACTATGTCATTCTGAGAAAGTTTCCAAGAGCAAACTCTTAGCTAATTTTAGTAGCAACAGCAGCATTGTCAGAGGCCCTGAGGGCTTTCATATCTTGTGAGGGGGAAAAAAATTGGGACGGGATGTTTGAATACCACAAATACTTAAAAATCCTTGAGACATGATTCATAAACCCAAAGGTGACTGATAATACTGACACTATTGTTGGAGTGTCTTCCCTATCAGAAAACACATCAATAGGGGGAAAATAAAGGCCATTATTATTTTTATCCTGTGGAAGGCAGTGTTGCTCAAAGAACTACTAGATTGGGAGGGAAAAGTTCAAAGCAAACTTAAGATTCTAAATAATGAAATAATACATTAAACTTAAATGTTTGTACACACACACGTAAAACAATGAACTTAAAGTCCTGATTCAAAGGTCGTTTTCCAGATTATGCCTATATGCACAAGGATTCATTAAATTACAGTATGCTTTTCCTTTAACATGACAAGGTGTTTTATTTTTTCCACAGTGAAATGTAGCATTTTAATAGATTTTATGTAGCATTTTAATAGACTGACAATATAGGCATGAATTTTAATAGATTCACAATATAGACATGAATTTTTCCTGAGCATTGCAAGAAACCGATTTAAAAAATAGGGTTGGGGACATACAAATATGTATGGATTTTTTTGTTCATGTTCTCAGCCAAGAACATTAAAGTGTTGCATTAAGAAAGTTGCTCCCGATTTCCCTCCTTCCCCGCCTCCCCCAAGCCTGGAAACCTGATCCCCAGAGACCGATACTGGGTGCTCAGAGCCCTGGGCCCAGGGCCGCAAGTGAGCGCTATGGTCCTGCAGGCGGCTGCACGGTGGGCGACGAGGAGATCGCTGCGCGAGTTAGGGAAGAAAAGAGAGCGAACTCCCGGGACAAACACCTCAACATTACAACTAGCCCCTGCACTTTAAAGTACTGATAGTGACAGCAACTGGATGGTCGTAATTCAACTAGTTCCGGACCACCCACACTTGTACTAGGAAGGTGGGGATCCTTACTTGCAGATTCCCCCGGGGCAATGGGGAAAGGGTCATCTCTATCAGGACTCAGCACTGAACCCGGACACTAGAAGGCCCCCGTCACCTCCCACGGCTTCTCTGTATCAGCTACATCCGCAAACCACTGCGGAATCTAGGCGCCCAGACCCGGAAGGTGGGATACCCGGCCGCAGTTGAGGTGAGGGCAGCGGCGGTGGCTTCAGGCGCCTCAGTGCGCAAGCGCGCAAGCTCACAACGCGCAGGCGCCGCCTACAAGTGACTTCTCCAAAAAGTGTCTTAGTTCGCAGTCACCTGAGCTTCGGGAGACTCGGCTGCCGTAGGCTTCAAGGAAACCGGTCTCTGAGGGTCCTACCAGGAGACCCTGCCCTCTTTCCTTGTCCTTTGGCTTCGTCACCCCGAACCGTCCAAAGGCCAGTCTCCTTTCCTTCCTGTCCTTTCCCATTCGCGCACCGGACCGGGCCGAGCTGGGCCGCCTGGGCGCGGTTCTTGACCATGGCGTCCCTCTTTAAGAAGAAAACCGTGGATGGTAAGTTCCAGGCCTGGCCGAAAGGGCCCAGCTCTGTGTTTCCCAGGCGTGTTTTGGGGGCTTCTGGCTGTGATTCTTGCTTCTCTCCCTTGGGGGCGGGGCTGGATCAAGTGGCCCCACAGGTGATCGACCTCGTGCGTCACTTTCTGCTTCCCATCTCCCAGTCGCCTACCTCAACAGCACCACCTGGGCGGTCTGGCTTCCTCTCTCTGGCAACACAACCCCCAGACCCGTTTTTTCCTTTAGCGGAAACCTGAGCATTTCGTGGAGGCTGGATGCTGCTGGTCCTTGAGTGTCATTAGTCTTGATGATTTAGTGAATTTCTTGTTAGTTCTGTCTGCTCGATTTGTTTCTTTAGTTGGGTTTGTACTACTTCGAGTCACTCGAACTGGAAACCTGTGCCTGCGGTGGGAGGCGGGGCGGGGAGGAGGGTAAACAGGCTCCGGTTATAAAAATGAACTTGGGTCCTGTCCTAAGTTGGTCCTGATCTAAGAACACCGCATCGGCAGAGATGTGAAACAATTCTTCATTGACTCCAATAGAAAAAGAAAAGAAACCCAAGGGAAGTGCCTAGATTTAGTTTCATAATGGATTTTTCTCCTTTGTGGTTATCTTTTACTATCAAAAATAAGAGATGTGGCGTGTATTATCTACATAGAAGTTTACATTTTAAGGTACTTTTATTGTTTCAGACATTTAGCTCTCATCTTCAGAGGAAAAAAATGAATGTACAGGAATATGCAAATTGTTGTAAGCAATACTTACAATGTATGTTCATATAACACTGACTAGTCTTGATAGTATGGATATTTTTATTGACTACTACCAGGAATCAAATTCATTCAAGTTGTTTAAAAAAGGTGTTTCCCATTACATGTTGAGTCTAGGTTGCTGCTGGTTCACCCAAAGAATCACTCCTTTGTAAGCGTCTAACTCAACAAAAGCAGCAGTGGATATAGCTGTACAGTGATTGGTACAGAGTGCTCAATCCAGACCTGGGGTAACTCCTTCATTCTCTTTATTCACTGTTCCAGTGCCAGCAAAATTATTTTGGAAAGGATAACAAAGCCATCATTTTTACTGTGCCACTCTGCCCTTTACTTCAACACATAACGTCATCTTACCCCTAATAATATGTTTTTGCTTACTGAGTGGGAGAAAATATATTTTTTTAATTTATTGACTTTTTATTAACTGAGCCTTCCTTTTTTAACCATTTACAATACCAGGATAATTACCAAGTTGTTGTAGGATGTAATACAGTGATGTGAAGTGGTTTTTATGTATGCCATTCCTGAGAATGCTGTTTATTTCATCTTTAGCCTGGCACTTTATTTTTTCAGTGTTCCAATACTAATATTGTGATTTTCAGTCATTGTATAATACTCCACAGAAGGAAAAAAGGTTTATTTCTTTGTTTCAGGTTTATATGGTGAGAATTTTACTAAACAGAGGAAAACGGTTGCATCTTTCTGTGACATTACAAATTAATTTTTAAAAAAAATTTAACATTAAAAGCCAAACATCCAAACTTTAATTGCTTAATATCTGTTAAATATTTTTAAAGATGTAAATATCAGCTCTGTATTCTCATTGTTGTGCTTCCTAGTGCTTTTGGCAATCTGGTTACTACTCTGCTTGAAGTGTACAGCCGAATAAAAATAAAGACAATGAGGATGTGCAGTGAGGGTGTTTAAATGTACACTCATTTGCAGTTGTGTTAATTCATCCAAGAAATAATGTTTTTGCTAAATAGAGTTATTTGTGGGGGGGAAGTGTTAAAGACTTTTGCTAGGAACTATGTTACCATTTTAAAGATCTGTATGACATTCCTCAATATAAATTTTGTCACCATGCACATCAACTATAACTACCCAGCTGAATACTTGATGTTTTCTTAAATTATGATGTCAATTTAAATCACTTAATGACATCTTAATTCTAAAATTGTGTTTTTGTTATTTTGATTTAGAGCTTTAATGATGTTTTTCCTCCTTGGTTTTTTAAAAAGAAGTTGTTTTGTTTGTTTAAAAGATGACAGCATTCTTAGCAGTAATGAGGCTATATATTATGAAATTTAATGTATTTTATGCATTTCCCCCAGATCTTTGGACTCGTTGATTATTGATCATAATATCTTTTACTATATGCTGTCTTTTTATCTGTTTTCAGCAGTAATGAAATTCTGATATATAAAGGAAGCATGTAACTGTTTATACATCTGAAGAATAATTGAATCTTTTTGTCTCTTTGGATTGGCTGGAAGAGTTGCATACTGTATCATTAGAGACTACTACACATGTAAATTAAAAAGGGAGACAACATTACTACACTTATTACTATTCAGAGTTATGTTTAATTCATTTTTGACACAGAGATGAACAGATCTCTGTACTGTATACTTCGTTACAGAAATTAATGAGAACTGTACCTCAATGCCATGGAAAAGAAAGATTCTTTTGAATTTGAAATTACAATTGAGTTATTGTTTTTCCTTTTACTGATTTATAAGATATATACATATATTAGGGTAAAGTGTTTACAGTGTGTTTTTTCTTTAAGTGGACAATGGTGACCTATTTATTGGAGCTAATTATAAACCTGTAAATCAGGATGCCATGAGGGCTTGTCATAAATACACAGCTAAATATGCCTCTTAAAAAGTGAAGTTCTTTATGCACTCTTTAATTGTTGTTTGTTATTCTAAATAAAGACAAAATCTGAGGGTCTACTCTAAGCCAGCCTCAAGTTAGTATTTTGTATGCAGTATCTTATTGTAACTCTTCCAACACTTCTAAGTACTGTTATTATCCCCACTTTATAGATGAGGAAATTAAGAAGCAAAGGACTAAGTAACTTGTCCAAGATCACACAACTACTAAGTGGCAGAGCCAGGGCCTAATCTCTTTGAATATTATCATTGTTATTTTTTTATTAGATAATCCTATGGCACAGTTTAATTTTGGTGTTCTTGCTAAGTACTTGGAATTCTCTACTTTTGGTAGGTATCATGTTACCTTTTGTTTGTGAACCAGACTCTTCTCTCAGAATTCATAATAGAACTTTAATATCTAATGGTGGTAGAACTCTCAATAACTCCTTTTCCCTACTCTCTCTTGGCCCAGTATTTCTTAGGCAATATTGTCCTATCTCTTTGCTCTTCATCTCAGCCTCTTGCAGAAGTAGTGATGTCGCCTATTTCCACCTCTTTGTTTCTCAGATGCCCCATTCTACAGCAGTTTGCTTTACATCTCATGTAATGAGATTTTATTAAGATCATTGATGACTTCTCAATCACCAAATCCAATGCCCATTTGCGGGTGATCCATCTCTCAGGCCTATGTTTTACATTTGACTCATGATAATTTCTTCCTTAAAACTCTCTTGGCTTCCATGACATAATTGTACATTCTCTATCTGCATGATCTTATTCAAACTCTTATTATTTTAATTATAACCTAAATCTTCGCGAATCCCAAATTTGTGTCTCTAGAAATATTTTTCTGAGAGTCAGATCAGTTAGATCCAATAGTTTGCTGATTACTTCTACCTACAGGTCCCAAAGGATGTCAAATTAAAGAGATCTTAAACAGAATTCAGCACCATCTCCTTGAAGTCAGTTCTTTTCCTGGGTTGTCCTCCTCCAGTATTTGGGAGTTCTTGATTTTGCCCTCTACCTTCAGTTAATTGCCAAGTCCTACTCCTTTTGCTTCTTAAATATTTGACACATATGATCTTCCTCGATAATGCTTTCAAATCCTTGCTGTCATTCAGATCCCATTTATCTTGCACTTTATTGCAATCACCTTTCTTCTTTTCATTATATAGCCTCACAGCCCTTAAATTGTTCATCTGCAAAGCTGCTTGTGTGATTGCTATACCTAAAACCCAAGTCTTTGTATGTTATTCTTCAGTGTAAACCCCTTCCTTGACTCTCTGGTACCAACAGGTTCAAGTCGGTGCTTTTAATAGGGCATATATGGTTCTCTTGATCTGACCATATCTCTGGACGTTTTACTGTCCAAGAACACTCACTGTTCTCACATTCATCTGCATGTACCATACTTCTCACTGTGACTATTTTTGCTTATGATGCCCTTATGAAAAAAATACTCTTTTTCTCTTCCCCTAGATAACATTAACTATCTCAGGTTTTTTCCTTCTCTAGGAATTCTTCTCAAAATAAGTTAAATCCCTCACTATTTATGTTTTTTTTTCTTTTTTTTTTTTTAGCATCTTCTTCCTAACTTGCATCAAGTGGAACCAAGTAGACCTTGTGTTCTTCCAGAGTTGTATTATGTTTATTCTAAGTTTTTCCTATATTCCATATCAGCAGGATTGCAGAGAGTCTTCAGCATAAATGAAAATATCTCTGCAGCAGTCGATAATTTAGAGGCTAAGTTCCAAAACAATAGTATTTACTAACCCAAAAGGAGAGCTTACTACATCCATATTATTGCCACCCACCTTGAACTTTAATGCAAGTTTAGAGATAATTTGAGTGACATTACTAACAAACAGGAACAGAGCTTCTTAGCCTTTGCCTCATTGGGGTGTTGTCCACGCATGCCAGTTGTCCAGAGTGCAAACCTGCAGAGTTTCGACTGAGTTGGGATAACTCTATCCAGAGGTCTGTTGTGAGGCCACATAATAATATCTATTATGTTTATAGACTAAATTCCCTCAAGAAACATCTGCTTTCTTCCAAATAAAGTACAACATTCTTATGGTGCTACCTAGAGTGCCCAGATCTTTCCTGGGATGTGTGTTCCCTTGGTGCTTATTCTGAATATTTAAAAACTCAGATTTTACTTTCTACTTGGCTCCTACATTCTTGGCACACTAAAATATTATCATTATTATTGATTATTGCATGTAGTGGTATTTCTTTTCATGCTGCGATTGCCTACCTTCAAGTCCAGGTGTCAGTGAGACTTTTTTCAGAGGAGTCTTCCTTCTCATTCCCTTATTTAAGCTGAAAAATGACCTTGTCAGTTTTC